TGCTGCTCTTACTGAAGATGGATTCTTTCGAACAGGTGATATTGTTGAATTACGTACTTGTCAAAATGGTCGAATTGATATACGTGTTATTGATCGTAAGAAGAGTTTCTTTAAACTTTCTCAAGGACAATTTATTTCACCTGAATTTCTTCAAAATATATATATTCAAAGTCTTTTTGTTGAACAAATCTATATTCATGGTGATCTTTTATCAGATTCAGTCTCTGCAGTTGTTGTTCCTAATAGAAAATATGCACAAACATATATTGTTGAACATAATTTGATAGATTTCGATATGAATAATCCTCATCCAGAATTTATTGATGCTGTTTTACAAGATCTTCGTTCAATAGGTGAAAAAGAATCACTTCGAAAACATGAAATTCCATCAAGAATTATTATTGATTTTGAACCATTCACATCTCAAAATGGTCTTCTTACTTCTTCAATGAAACAATGTCGTCATAAATTAGCTGCACATTATGCTGATCGACTCAAAACATCTAATAGTATTGAACAACGACTAAAAACTATTATTGAAAATATTACAGGAAAATCGATCTCAATAGACAATAAAGAAGAAAATATTTTTTTAAGTATTGGTGGAGATTCATTAGCAGCTATATGTTTATCTCGAATGATTGAAAATGATCTTGGAATACCATTATCATTCAATTTACTTTTTGATCCTAAAATGAATTTACAACGACTAACAACTTTTATACAAAATCCTTCTCAATTTTCTTCGTTTTCTCAATCAATGGTATCACAATTGTTAAATGATTCTAAATTAGATTTGAATATAAGAATTGATAAACATAAATCTATAATTGGTTTTCCTTCAATGATTTTCATTACTGGAACAACAGGATTTGTTGGTGCTTTTTTATTAGCAGAATTATTAACAACTTATCCTTTGGAATGTAAATTTGTATGTCTTGTTCGATGTCAATCATCAATGAATCCATTAGATCGTATTCGAAAAACTATGTTATTTTATCAGATATGGAAAGATGATTATGAACAACGAATTATTCCATTACAAGGTGATCTTTCACAAAATCATTTTGGACTTGATGATGAAATCTATCAATCATTTGCTCATCAAATTGATATTATCTTTCATTGTGGTGCAACTGTTAATTTTATTCTTCCATATAGTCAACTTTATGGTTCTAATGTTTGTGGTACTCGAGAAATTATTCGTTTTGCTACACATATTTCATCTTCTTGTATACCTATACAATATATTTCAACAATAAGTGTTCTACCTCCTGGTATTGATAAAGAAATATCAATTGATGAAACTTCTCCTGAACAATTAATTGGTGGTTATGCACAAAGTAAATGGGTAGCTGAAAAACTTATTATCCAAGCATATCATTGTGGTTTATTAGTCAATATTTATCGTTTAGGATTGATATGTGCTGATAGTAGAACAGGTGCATGTAATCAACATGATATTTATACATTATTAATTGCTGGAATAATGAAGATGAATTGTTATCCAAAATCATTGATTCAATCTAATTTGAATGGTTTATCAGTTGATTTTACTGCAAAATGTATTGTATATTTGAGTAATCTTCAATCGAATATCTATGGAAATATTTATCATGTGATTAATCGAAATAATGAAATAAAATTTGTTGACATAATCAATGGTATGCATAATTGTGGTATTGAATTAGAAAGTGTTTCGAATGATGAATGGAAGATAAAAATGAAGACAATCAATCATCGAGATAATCTTCTTGAATCTGTATTAGAATTCTTTTCAAA